GACACTTTTGATGAGATGAGCAAAGACAACTCAGTAAAAGTTGACTTACTCCAGTGGTTGGAGTACAGAAAAAGCGAGGCTGGGCTGTTGTGTCAATAGGGCTTGGTGGGAGCCGCCCGAGAGGGAAGGATCCCAGTCACAGCACCAGAAGGATTCCGCCTGCTTGGCTGAAAGACCCAGCAGTAGGGCCAGCTATTGTGAAGCCCCTCCGCCAGATGAACAGGGACCCTTCTCTGGTCACAATAGCCATTCACGCTGAGCAGCCTCATTAAATATTCAGCCTGTGCTTCCGGCAGCTCATTAGGGCCGCAATGAGCAGTGACGTGGGTGCTGGAAAGCCCAGGGCCAGCCAGCATCAGGAGGCAGAGGCTGAGTGAGCTGCTGATGGCTTTTCTGTGCACTGCCTATCCTAGGATGACCAGTGTCTGCTCCCTGCTTTGCCTGAAGTCCAGGTAAAAACAAAACAGAACCAAACCAAGCAGATGACACTTGAGGGACTCGGGTCCTTAGCTCCGATTTTGTCTGGCAAGGGCCCCTGATTTTGAGTGCTTGCCCCCTTTGAAGCCCCTGACCCCCTTAAAAAGCTGTGTGCGGCTTTGAGGGCCTTTGCAAAGCACTAACAATGTGGTGCTATTGTGTCCTGGGGCAGTTTGATGACTACATTTGGGAGGGTTTGAGGTGTGGTTTTGAACTTGGTGCTGAGGGTTGAGAATAGCAAACTGTTCCTCTGTAACATGGCAAATTTAGAAATATTATGGGGTAAATCCTAGCAGTTTGTGCAGCAAGTTTACTCTCTGTTCGTGCCAAGTTTTCATGTATTTGGGTTATTTCATTACTAAGTTCATTACTAAGCCTTTCCCATTTGACTATCATGATAGGTGTGGTATAATAACAACAAAAAAAGGATATTCTTCAGCTATCTGGGCTTCTTGGTATAGAGTGAATGTTGTCCTTGTATCTTGTTACTTTGTTACTCAGTGCTGTGTGATATTTAAAGCTGGGAAAATCTGTGAAGGAAGAATTAAAAAATGATGAACTCAAACGAAGTGCATTTCTGTGGTCTCACTGTTTGCATGTTTTCTCTTTCCTACACAGAAAATGTTTTCAGACAGCTCATTTCTATGTGGAAGATAGCAGTTCACCTCGGGTGGTCCCCAATGAAAGTATTCCTATTATTCCTATTCCGGGTAAGTAAGACGCGCCTCTTACTTCCAGTGGGCTGATTGTTTTCCTCTTTTGTTCTCAGCTGTATGTGATAGCCATGACAAAATATTTGTATAGCCTTTTAAAGCTTGCTCAGTTTAAGAGATCCTTAACTAAGGGTAATTTAATTAAATCTTTGCTCCTTTACATATCTGCAAAGTAATGAAATCCTCTTAAAGAGGAACAAATAACTGACTTACTACATGCAGGGGAGGGAAGTAACAGTAAAAGAAAAAGGGGGAGGAACATGCTTACATACTTACTTGTAATCTACTTGGACTAAATTTCATTTTGATAGGCAGTTTGTGCTTGCTTTTTTTTTTTAATCACAATTTGCAATACATCTTTTTAAAGTGAGTTTTCTCTTATGATTCCTTACTCTGAAAATAATTTATGTTAGAGTTGGAAGTTCTGGTTCTTAAGATGTCTGTGTGGAGGTCTAGGGGTACGTTCTTGGTCCGGTGTATATTTCATTTGTCGTTTAGTAAAAAGATAGACCACTCGGTTAGTGTCAGGGGTAGGGATTGGTGGGGTGCACTGTAGTCAATCCCAGCAAATGCCGCAGCCACTTAGAAGTCCAGCAGTGGCTTAATTGTGACAGATAGGCCGTGGGGTTTGAAGATGGCCCCCACCATTTTTACTTGGTGTCCCTTCCTTTTTGCCCAATTTGAACAACTTCTCTGGGTTTCATTATGTGCTTATAAGTACCCATCCTTAGATATCTTATGTATCCACCCTCTTGACATTAATTATTCTTTTGGAAACAGAGGTACTACTTTTCCTGTAGGGCCACCTCCCGCACAGCTGAGCTCCCCCATCCCACTTGTCAGCCTCATTCTCCAGAACAGTGTTTACCATCTTATATACTATATATTGTACTTGTTTGTTTGTGGTGTCCCCCCACTAGAATGAGAGCTTCATAAAGGAAAATGGGTATCTCTTAGTACAAGAAGAATACCTGGCACACAGTAGGCATTGTTTAATGAGAGAGAGAGAGAGAGAGAGAGAGAGAGAGAGAGAGAGAGAGAATGAATATGAATGAGCGACAGGAAACCTTCCTGAAAGTTCCTAAAAGGCCATAGCTGTGAAGCTGTGAGGCTCAGCAGTACAGTCATTCTCTGAGTACTGAGAAGGAATGCTGCTATTGTTTGCAGATCACTAGGTGCAGTTACAGTTGGGGACTTCCTTGGTCCTTTATGTATCTGTACATGTTAAGTCATTAGACATCGCTGGAATTGGCCTTGTTTTCCCCATCTGGTCAGCTTCTCTCAGTCAAGTTTGTCACACAGAAACAAGAGGGTTACAGAAAAGTCTTCGGTTAAGTTCTGATTGGATCATTTTGTGGCCACTAAATGATCCCCATACAGATGGAACAGGTCTTGTGTTACCCAGTCCTTCTCTACTAACTCTTGCCCTAAATTCTTGGTGGAGGAAACTGCACTCTTGCCTTTGAGAGGAGAAGCAGCAGAAAGGAATCATCAGTCTTCCATCCTCATAGAATAAGCCGTTTTGTGGAGTGCCCGGGGTTTGTGCAACAGCACGTATGTAATCATTGTCCTCTTGCATCACCTAGAATACATGTCGACCTCTGGGAAATGCCTGGCAGCCTGTCTCTCTGAACTAATTCATCCGACAAAGCAGGTTGGGTAGCTGTGCGGTTGAAATCCATTTGAAAAGGTTAAATGGTGAGATACTTCTTGGGCTGGCTTTCAGTTTTTATTTTCTTTTCCTATTGGATGAAGAATCAGAAACCTAGGCTCTTGCCCTGTATTCGTTCACCACGAAACCTTTGCGCAATGACTTGGCCCCTCTGAGCCTTGTTTTCAGAATCTGTAAAGTGTGCAGGATGTCTGCCCCCATTGCACGTGGCATTGTTAAAGATCACATGAGATGTGTGCGAAAGCACTTTGGGAACCGTAACGTAAGCCAGCAGTGTCGGCTGTGGAAGCTTTCCTCCCCAGATCATGGTACTGCTCACCCTACAGCCCTGGAGGACCAGCATGGCAGCGTCCTCAGCGTAAGATTGTCCCTAACCCTGAACCGCATCTCCTGGATGTGCCTGGCTGTGCCACACTCTGTGACCTGGGCTCTAGGACTTGCCTGCCATTTACTGGAACCCTCAGGAAATGCCATCCATCGTGCCTGCCTTGCTACACTTGTGAGTAGGAAGCTTAGACCAGAAATGCTTTTCAGTGTTAAGTAAAATACTCACAACCCAAAGGCATTTCTTTTCATGTGACTTTCTCCTAATTCTTGCTCACTGGTACATGCAACGAAAATGTCTTCAAGTTCTCCACTGACTGAGAAATCCATGAGGTACCCAGTTGTACCTCACTTGGCATAGCAGATGC